AAATACATAGAAATTTATTAACAAGATGAAATGTCACTAGTGAAAGGCGTTTCTTCTAATTCATATATGCACCATATCGCACACCGCCATCATCATTGAATAGTAGCGATTATACTGTCATAAAGGAACAAAGATCGCTAAGTAAGATCCTCATGTTCATGTTTACCTGACTATGATCGATGACGCCTAAATCGTAAGGCAAAAATTTGAGCAATCAAATTCAGATAGCCCCTCCTACATGATGCTGCAGTTAGCTCTAGAAGTGACGCGCGCGACATTGCTCCGTGACTGTCAATAGAGTGTGCTACCGCAGTCAAAAGTGCAGTCCACTGCTTGCCAAAGAAGGGATGTACTCTCTAATGAAACGGCTATCTGCTTTCATGCAAAGGAAGACGCTGCGGAGCGTTGGTGTCCGTTAGCCAAGTGCGTAGGGCGGCATAGAGTAGATGTTCGGAATAGAGTTAATGAATGGAAACCCTGTACGATTGACAGCATTATCAATGCTAGAGTGATATGTAGAAACGTCACTACATTTTATAATTTATACCACATTTTCCCTCTTTGTTAGTTCTAGGTTGCTTTTCTTAAGATCGCATATTTATTCAATCAATTGGCCAATGATGTTATAGTTTCTTACAGTCTCTTTTGTCATTATTAACGCTAACTAAATTCAGATACTTGAAATTGTCAAATCCGACACAATCACACCATGGCTGACAAATGGCAAGAATTTCGGGTTCAGACTTTCGCTGTATTATTCTTCGTCCTACGCGCCAACTGGTCAGGTACGCATTATTATTTTATCGTCATACCAGAATGTGTGAGTTGACATTTGATAAATGATGTTAATTCCTCTTATTGCCGCAGCTCGCATTGACTTACCTGAAAACTCACTATATCTTAATAGTCGGCATAAAGTATAATTTTTGCTTATCCAGCACGCAACAGATTACAAGCAGTCCATGAGTTCTCTGTTATCCAGTTTAGGACGGTCTTAATCAGTTACTTGCCGGTCGATTATACGTGTTCTATAGCTGTGGGGTGTATATAATCCATTGTTTCCGGTATTTAGTGGCATCACCTGGCGACTCGTTATTCTTGTTTTGCAAAAGGGGTGAAACCACTTTTGTATGCTGATGTTGCTACTTGTTAGACCCCATCAATTTCTTACGGTTTTTTTTCGGTTCGTATTGGGTAAAATAAATATGGCAGGAAATTTTGTCAATTTTGTAGTGTATTTCATTGTGAGCTCCTAAACAATCGTTACTTGCATAAAATGTTATACACTTATGTAACTAACAGCAGGTGCCGCTCAAGCAGCCAGTCAAAATCAAATTTATGCGCATATATGGCCGTTTCCTGCTGTGTCATTCTGACGGAATGGCAACCGCTCTGGTCTCTATGCCAAAATTAGCTGAAATAATGTGTGCAAATTTTCTGCAACCGAAAATAAAATAGTTTCTCTTTTTCTTGCTCGTTGAGCCGAGCATATATAAAAAGAGGTATAATAGGTAGAAATATTCTGTGTCTGAGGGTAGTGCTGCTTTCTGATGGCGAAAATTAGGATGAAAAGTTTTACAGGCGAATTTTAAAAGCATGCGCTGTTCCACGTGAACTACCCTGAACTCTGGTTCGTAAAGCAGATCCTCCTTTCAACATTAGGCTTTCTCCATTCAAATCGATCTTCGTCCTCATGCTCATCTACAGCCATTGATGAAAAAATTTTATCCCTTATACAAGCGGCTAAAATAGGCTTTCTGTGATAGATCGATGGGCTCTCGCGGTGGTCCATTTCATATATGATCCTGTGTATGCGTATCCGAGAGAGTATTGGTATATTCTACTACTGCTGGGAATATTGGAGATGCTGTCTAGCGTATCTGCGTCGGCGACCTGAAAAGACAGACGGCCATTGAAACTGACTGAACTGTTCGCTGTTTCTCGATTATGGTATACTTTGAAGGGTTCTACAAATTTTATTCAGTGAGTAAAAATTTTAAAAGATTGCGATTGATATAATTCTTGGCCAAGTCAAACGCTTTTGATCAAAAAGTCTGTTTTGAATTTGGCTATTTTGCGATTTACGTTGTCTAGATTGTAGTGTGTTTCGGTATCAGAATTATATACCACCGCTACGAGAATACTTTATAATCCTCAATACAGGATAGGCGGTGTTGCGGATTTTGTGAAAGTAATGGTGGGACCGACGTAGGGTTCAAAATTTTAGACAAGTGTTACATGCTCTTTCTGTTATTTTGTACTTAGTGAGTTTTGGTATAACGCCATCGCAAGGTATGCTTCGTTCGTCGATTTTTGGTAACTTCTGCTCTCGCCTTCTATCGAACTGTGTGAATCGGTTGAACGTGCAGACGGGGTACTCGTCGCTTCACGTTGTCGGTCGGCCAGTTCGTTCAAATGTCAGCGTTAAAGTGAACCAGCAGAAAACCACTAAGGAGCGACGAACCGCCGAAAAAGGATCGTCGAACAGCGGCTCCTCGGTAGCCGTTGCTGGTGGCGGTGGGGTTCGTAAGTCAATCGAGGACCTGGTCAAGCCGGTGCCGGTCCAAGTGGCATCTGGAACAGATGACATCAACATCGGCGCCGAGCTGAGTGGCTCCCTGAGCAAGGACGCACTCATGAGGGCACTGAACACATTCGTCCGCCAGCCAGCGGTGCGCAGACTATGTCAGGAGAGCGGCCTGAATGACCGCCTGTTGCACCAGGCGTTCATTAGCTTCCGACGTTTCTGCCTTGACTCTAACCCTCTGCCGACCGACCTGCACATCACATTCTCCGATATACTGAACGGCAGCTCGAATGTCGACGACCTCTACCCTCATTTCCTGAAGCACGCTCGACAGGTGTTCCCTCACTTG